CAGCTCACTGCAACCTCTGCCCACTGGGCTCAAGTGATTCTCTCACCTCAGCCTCCTAGAAGCTGGAATTATAGGTGCGTGCCACCACACCCAGCTAATTTATGTATTTTTAGTAGAGACAGGGTTTCACCATGTTGGCCAGGCTAGTCTTGAACTCCTGACCTCAAAGTGATCCACCCACCTTGGCCTCCCAAAGTGCTGGGATTACAGGTGTTAGCCACCCCACACCCGGCCTAAGTTTCGAAGGATCCATAAAAGGTTAAGAAACACTCATTACCATTTACTGAGTGCCCACTCTATTTGACTCCCATATCCTCACAGCAACCCTGTAAGCTATAAATGATGATTCTCATTTTACAAGTGAAGAAACAAGCTTCAAGAGGTAACGTGACTGCTCAAGTGTTTCAGGGAACATTTCTAGGCAAAGGTCAGAGAAGGGCTCCTTCTCTTTGCCAGGTTCCAAATCAGTTAATGTTTATAAAACATTGGACGGGGTGTGGTGGCTCACGCCTGTAATTCCAGCACTTTGGGAGGCCAAGGTAGGAAGATCATTTGAGCCTAGGAGTTTGAGACCAGCCTGTCTCAAACAACATGGTGAGACCCTGTCTCTATAAAAAAAAATAAAAGCAGAGAGTGAAAGATGCACCACTCCTTTCCCCAATCAGGACTTCAAAAGGCAGATATAAGTCAAGAGCTTTTCAAAAAGTTTTTTTTTTTTTTGAGACAGAGTTTCACTCTTGTTGCCCATACTGGAATGCAATGGCATGATCTCGGTTCACTGCAACCTCCTCCTCCCGGGTTTAAGCGATTTTTCTGCCTCAGCCTCCCGAGTAGCTGGGATTACAGGCATGTGCCACCATGCCTGGCCAATTTTGTATTTTTAGTAGAGACAGGGTTTCTCCATGTTGGTCAGGCTGGTCTCAAACTCCTGACCTCAGGTGATCTGCCCGCCTCAGCCTCCCAAAGTGCTGGGATTACAGGCATTAGCCACCATGCCCAGCCTGTTTTTAATTTTATTTATTTATTTATTTATTTATTTATTTATTTTTTGAGATAGAGTTTTGCTCTTGTTGCTCAGGCTGGAGTGCAATGGCATGATCTTGGCTCACCACAACCTCTACCTCCCGGGTTCAAGCAATTCTCCTGTCTCAGTCTCCAGGGGAGCTAGAATTACAGGCATGCGCCACTATGCCTAGCTAATTTTGTATTGTTAGTAGAGACGGGGTTTCTCCATGTTGATCAGGCTGGTCTTGAACTCCCGACCTCAGGTGATCCGCCTGTCTCCCAAAGTGCTGCAATTACAGGCGTGAGCCATCGTGCCTGGCGAAAGTCTTGTATTTTTGTACTCATGATACCATTAACAATAAGCCCTTACTTGCATTTGTTTCTTAGTCCTCTAGTGTCAAGCCCTTCTCCTTGAACCATTCCATACATATGAAAACTTGTTGAGTTCCTCCAAAGATGTGACGACTGGGACCCCTCTTTCCATTCCCACCTTTAGAAGGGCTCAAAGGATGTGCTTGATCTCAGTCTCCCGAGTAGCTGGAATTACAAGCACGCGCCTATAAGAATTACTGATTCTTTTTCCTGATGTTACCTACACCCCTTTACTCAAGATGATTGATAGTGATGGCATTCAATTACAACTTGTTCTTTCTTGTTTGGGATTTGGAGAAGGTGGGTTTCTTCCCCTCCCTAACAGATTACAGAGTAGTAAAAGCTGCAGCGCTTCTCAGCAGGTACTGTGAGACATCAAGAGACTAAAGTCGGCTTCACACCCTTCTTCCCTCCCCTTAGCTATTACTTAGATATATGATTGGTCCTTAATAGACCTGCCAAAGATGGTGTGCCATGCTTTCCTAGTGACAGATGACCAAGGGCACAAAATCACAGAGAAGGGAAGCACTGCAGCATGCACCGTGGCTGAGACTCTGCTACTCGGAGCTGACCAAGGGTCCCCTCTACACCAAGGTCACACAGCTGAGAAGGGTAAAAGAGAAAGTATAATTTGGGGTTAAAGGACGGCATGAAAAGGGGAGGAAAAGAGGGAGTGATGGAGATTGGGGGAAGGAATGGAGAGCAGGCCCCTCTTCACAGGCCCTTCTCATTTCTCTGCAGCCCACCTCCCCTTCAGTGCCCAGCCTGGCAAGGCTTTTTATACCACTGGCCAGGCCAACTTTGTCTTTCAAATCATTAGGGTGCCCCATTAGTGCCTGAGAGAGAGGGCCAGAGCTTCTGCAGATGTACGTCTTAGGGAAAAGAGCATATTTAAGAATTGCTCATGCTCCTAAGTTGTTGTCTGTTCAAGCCCAGCAGTCTTCCCTGTGGTTGAGGGGAGCCACAGGCGTGTGCAACCACGCTCGGCTGATTTTTGCATTTTTAGGAGAGACGGGGTTTCTCCATGTTGGTCAGGCTGATCTCTAACTCCTGACCTCAAGTAATCCAACCACCTAGGTCTCCCGAATCCACCATATCTTTTCATGGCTTGATAGCTCATTGAATAATATCCCACTGTTTGTAGGTACTGCAGCCCCAACCCATTTTTAGAACTGTGTTTAAAGAGGTTATTGAAAGAGCTTGAGCATCTTCAGTTGTGGCTTCAAATCCCAGCTCAGGCTTTAGCCTTATGTAACCTTGGACAAATGACTTGACTCTAAGCCTCAGTTGACTGGTCTATAGCCACCTCACAGGGTTGTCAATTAAGAACCTGTAAAAACTAACATGTACAAAAATTAACACCAGGCACACAATGCTGAGAAACTGTGTTCTCTAAAATCAGACTGTCAGAATTTTGCTCTTTAAAATCAATACAATAGTGAGAATGGAACATCTCATTCTTACCTGGAAAGTCTAAGTCACTTTGACACAGAGAAGCAGGCATAATCTCCAGCTCAGGTGAGAGCTTCAGAAAAGTGGGTTTTGGAGACAACATAGAACATTTATCTAAACTTTCTAATGTCCCAGGAAATAGAATCCTGGGTCTGCTCCTAGCCCAGGCATGATGTTAGCTTCATTACATAGATATGTGCCTGCTTTGCCTTATGTCCATCAAAAGTCTGCTTTATATAAATTTTACCTAAGCTTCACTCTTCCCAAAATCCTATATTCACCCTATCTCTTCCTTTGGCCAGGCACTCGAGAGTTCCTCTGGAGAGCTTTAAAAAAAATTAAATTTAGTGAATTGACTCAAATGAATTATGTGTAAATGATTCAGAACTGACACTAGAAATTATTAAAAGAGGGGTCCGGGCACAGTGGTTCATGCCTGTAATCCCAGCACTTTGGGAGGTCGATGCAAGTGGATCACCTGAGGTCAGGAGTTCAAAACCAGCCTGGCCAATATAGTGAAACCTCATCTCTACTATAAATATAAAAATTAGCTAGGTGTGGTGGCAGGTACCCATAATCCCAGCTACTCGGGAGCCTGAGACAGGAGAATCACTTGAACCCAGGAATTGGAGGTTGCAGTGAACCAAGATCACATCATTGCACTCCAGCCTGGGCAAAAGGAGACTCTGTCTCAAATAATAATAATAACTATAATTAATTAAATTATAAAAAGCGAACATAAATTACCCAAGTACATGGAAATTTCCACTTAGACATGCATATATTACCCACTTTGAATTGAATACATATGCAAATACATGTGTTGGTTCTATAAAAATAATTGAGATAATGAAAATATTTTCTCAAGTTTTAGAAACAGTATAAGTTTCAACAACATTCTACATGAATATAAAACCCTGATATAAATACATGATCTTATCCTAGAAGCATGGTTTTAATTTTTCTAACAGATATGGGTATTGGCTTAATAATTAACACATTTTGTAGTCACGGTATCAGTGTGAGGAAAAATATAATATTATTTGCTCTGATGTTTTAAATTCTCAAAGTCGTTCCAACATAAGAAAATAGCTACAGGCATTTCAGCGTTTCCTTTTTGAAACAAGTTAACATGATTTTATTGGACCACATGTTCTTTCGTTGCTGAGCCTTGTAAGTATTAAATGAGATCATGCATGTAACACTACAGGACCAGCCACATGATAAATGTCCAAATAATGTTTACCTGGGCCTGGCACAGAGCAGGCACTCAAAAAATATTTGTTGTTAGAGCATGTGACGCGCCATGAACCAGAGCAGCCATTTTAAAGGGGCAAATGGGGATCTCGGGTTTGTTTGTTTGTTTTTTCCAATGGTAAGACAAGCCCTGAGAGGGCAAATGGACTGCCTAAAGCTACACAGGTCAGCAGGGCAGGTAAATCTAAATGGGCAAAGTAAGCCTTACAGCTGAGCCAACGGACTCCGACACTAGAAGGCAGAACTGAACTAACTCCTCCGAAGGTCCCGCCTCTGCCGCTTTGTCCCACCCTTATCTCCGCCCTCAATGCCTCACTCCCCTTTCGCTCACCCGGGTGGTGCTGAAGCAACTTCCGCCCTGAGAAGGGTGGGGCTTCCATCTCCCGCTCTCCCGACGCCTTGCGGTAAAGGACGGAAGATGGTAGCCACATTTCTTCCTCGCCCTTCCCCTAGGTTCCCCGTCACAGTTCCGCCCTTACTACTCCCACTTCCTGCCAAGGAACACCCACTTCCACCCGGAAAAGGGGTTGTTCCACTGAGGGCACCGGCTGCCCACCCAACCTGCCCTGTATTTTCGCCATCATAGTCTTCACCACTATTCCTTCCAGCCACGAACGACGCAAACGAAACCAAGTTCCCCCATCTCGGGACAGGAGCTCTTATCCTCTATTACACTCCGGGAGAAGGAAAAGCGGGAGGAAGACCAGACCTCCACGCCCGACCCCTCGACCCTCCCCTTTACCTCTCCACCCCTCAATAAATAACCTCCCCTCTAGGCGGGGACGAAGCCACATTCGCCCTGAGAGAGGCGGGGCCTCCGTTTTACCACCCCCCCCCCCGCTCTCGCGAGCTTTCAGAACTCTCGCGAGACCCGAAGCCCGACTTGTGCGCCCGGGAAACCCCGTCGCTCCCTTTCCCCTGGCTGGCAGCGCGGAGGCCGCACGGTAAGCGGGTGCTCCGAATCGGACAGTGCGTGGGGCGTCACGACCGGACACCTCAGCCTCAGAGCGCGTGCCTAAGGGCCCCGAGGCGCCCGGCGCGGGCCCGTCCCGCCCCCTGGAGCCGTGGCCACGTGCGAGCGGCAGGCCCGAACATGCCCGGTCAGCGCCGTCCGGGAGCTGAGCGTGGGCCCGGGGGAGCAGCGGCGGGTGTGCGTGGGGCGTCCGGAGTCCCAGGGCTGAGGAGTGGGGTTGCGCAGGATCTTCACACGCGGGAGCCGGGCTGTGTTCGTGCGACCCAGAGAGTCCGTGGGCGTCAGTGAGCTCCTTCGGCCCCGCAGGAGCCGGGGCCAGTCATGGAAGGGGCCTTAGGAAGTAATGGGGTACCCTGGTTTAAGATACTTTGGAGCGAAAGGAGTGGGGTGGGTTCCGGGCCCTTGGCTGTCGTCTCCACCAGGCCTGTGTTCACATGCGTGACCTTCTCCCGCAGATGCCTGGAGTTACTGTAAAAGACGTGAACCAGCAGGAGTTCGTTAGAGCTCTGGCAGCCTTTCTCAAAAAGTGAGTTTGGGGACTGAGGTTCAAAGCGGGGAGGCTGTCGCGTTGGTCTGCCCGTCTGGGCCCAGTGTTTGCCGGTGCTGGCAGGGGAGACTTGTTTGGGGCTTCTGTGGCTCCCTTCAGCATTAGGCCTGGCTTGGTTGCGGTTCCAGCTTCTCTTTGTACTCTGGGCACATCGGGCACCTCGTAACCCATGGCTGTGTTGAAGGGAGGGCATTTGGGGTGTGGGGTAGTTTGTGGAGATTACTGAATAGTGGTTTTCTCGCTGATTTGGTCTTAGGTCCGGGAAGCTGAAAGTCCCTGAATGGGTGGACACCGTCAAGCTGGCCAAGCACAAAGAGCTTGCTCCCTACGATGAGAACTGGTTCTACACGCGAGCTGGTGAGCAACTTGGGAGTGGGGAGCTGGGCGACCCCTGGCACAAACCATACTTACCTATCTCCTCTGAGCTCTTTCCTGGCCCCTGCCCAAGAGGGAGAGAAAGGTTGGGTTGTGTCACCACATGCTTTGTGTGATAGGACATTCAATAACTTGATACTCCAAGTTTTTATGCAATTCTAAGAGCCTTGTGAGAGGAGGATTTGCGGCTTTGAGCTTCAAGGGAAACCAGAGACAGATGAATGTTCATATTTTGCTTATAGTTGGTCTAATTCTTCCTACATACATGGAGTCAGACTCCCTGGGTTTGAATCCATCTTTTACATCTGCCTGTGTCAACTCTGGCAAATTACTTAACCTGCCTGCGCCTCCATTTTCTCATTCCAAAAATGGGGCTAATTACTGTGCCAGTACCGAGAGAATTGTAAGGATTGAATGAATTTAAATCAGTATTTAGAACATGTCTATTGCAAAGTACTTAAGAAAAAGTTAGCTGCCTTTTATAATTGCTCAGGTCAAGTTAGCCTTCTCCATGTCTCTAAGGTTTTTCTAACTAAATGGTTGGAGGTGTGGCCAGGTTAGTCCTTGCTTTAAATCTTGACTTCCTGACCTTATGGGCACCTGTGACCTTGTGCCAGCCCCGTCTCTTGATCTTACAGTAATAATTTACGTTCAGTAATAATATAATAATGTACAGTAATGTATGTACAGCCCCTAACTAGTGTTAGTTCTCATGTGTCTTGACATTTCAGTGCTCACTAAATCTTCACCCTCAGGAAGACCTAACATGGTGGGCGGTGGCGGTGGCAGTGTTGTGTTGTGTCAAGGCGACAGCCTCAGAGTGGACCTTTGCTATGGGGCCTTGGCCTCTCTAATCTTAAACCTTATATTTCATGAAGTGGGGGTTCCATCCTGACTACAACTTGTCTCCAGATAGGAAGTAGGTGGGAAGCGGGTTTGGAAATCAGCAAAACTTCAGAGTGACCCTGAAAAGAGTTGACCTTGGTACAGGTTGCTTGGCCCTTCGGAATAAGATGCATTTTGTAGATTTGTGGTACACTTGTGCCTCAGATGGCCATGGGGCCCACTGTCAGGCCTTGGAGTGGACACAGAGGACCAGCATAACTCAGCTGCGGCCTCTGAGGACTGAAAGGTGAACTTGCTATGGTGGGTTGGGTTGATGGCATATCACCCACTCACCATTCTTATTAGACAGAATGTGGGGCTGATGAAGAGAAGCTGACTTCTCTGGGTGCACAGCAGTGACAAGGTCTGGAAGAGATGTATCCTCTCCACCTATCCACCATCTTGCTTCGGCAGTGCCTCAAGGGTCAGTAGGTCAGGGCATTTTGTAGATTTGTGGTACACTTGTGCCTCAAATGGCCATGGAGCCCACTGTATCGGGCCTTGGAGTGGGCACAGAGGATCAGCGTAACTCAGCTGCAGCCTCTGAGGACTGAAAGGTCTAGGATTGGCATATCTATTTTCCTAATCCTTTGGATCTAGGATTAGGAAAAATCATCTAATAGCCTTTCTCATTTGCTGGGGTGAAGATGCATGCTGTGCTATCAGATACCCCAAAATAGGACTGTGTGTCTTTTGTTCATGTGGTTTTGTGTGTTTTAACATGGGGAGGGATTAACAAGAGATGGGATTAAGCCCTTGGATCACAAACCTAATCGCACCTGATGGTCATGATAGACTTGCTGTGGCCCCTTTCAGCCCACCATGTCCCTTCCTGGAAACCTCAGGCAGAATGTGCATCTTCTGCCTGCCTGCTGGCCTTCATCACAGGAAGTACCACAAAGGTCCCTTTTCCACCTCACTTGTCCACCTGCCCTAGTACACAGGATGGTTGTGTGTAGACTAGAGGCCTGTTGTGTATATTTTTGTTGGGATACAGCCACACCCACATATCTACATACACAGGTGCAGAGTTGTAGTTGTGGCAGAAGGTCTAGCTCTGTCACCCAGGTTGGAGTGCAGTGGCACAATTATAGCTCACTGCAGCCTCGAACTCCTGGGCTCAAGTGATCCTCCTGTCCCACCCTCCTAAGTGACTACCAGTGCCCACCAGTCACCATGCCTAGCTAACTTTTTTTATTTGTAGAGATGGAGTCTCACTATGTTGAACTCTCAAGCCCAAGCAGTCCTCCCACCTCAGCCTCCCAAAGCACTGGGATTATAGGCAGAGTTGACCAGTATCTATTTTAGAGTTTTGATATGTTCCACCCAGTTTGGCAGTCAGTTTATACTAGTCATGGGAGTGATCTGTTTTACCAAAGAGGAAGCTGATGCGCAGACAGGTGAAGGGACTAGCTGAAAGTCTCATAGAGTCTGGCCTGTTTTGCCCCCTCATATTTGAAGTTAGTGTGCTGAGGCTGTGGCCCTGCTGAGCAGGGCCAAAATGTGGAGGCGTGTAGGAACCGGTGTGTGGTGGACAGGTCTTAATCTTGGGGTTTGGGGATAAGGAGGTCCATGGCAGAAGATGGGGCCCTCCTAGGGGGTGGTTTGGGAATGGAGTGGAGCTGTAGGAGTAAGAAGTCCCAAGGCAGTAGTGTAAGGGGCAAGGTGGAGGAAGAACTCAGACTTGCTCTCACCGGACGTTCAAGAGATGGTCACCATGGGTCTTTATGAAGGGGGTGGTCTCAGCTCACTGCAACCTCTGTCTCTCAGGTTCTAGTGATTCTTCTACCTCAGCCTCTCAAGTAGCTGGGATTACAGGCATGCCCCACCACGCCTGGCTAATTTTGTATGGTTAGTAGAAATGGCGTTTCTCCGTGTTGGTCAGGCTGGTCTTGACCCCCCCAACCTCAGGTGATCCGCCCACCTCAGCCTCCCAAGGTGCTGGGATGACAGGCGTGAGCTACTGCACCCAGCTAGGCCTCTTTTTTTTTTTGAGACGGAGTTTCGCTCTTGTCACCCCGGCCGGAGTACCATGGCGTCATCTTGGCTCACTGCAACCTCCCATTTTCCAGGTTCCCTCAGCCTCTCAAGTAGCTGGGATTATAGGCGTGACTGGCTGGACAAGCCTCTTGCTGTCTTGATTCTCTGAAGGACCTGCTGAAGATAGAGATGTGGGAGTCCAGTTTGGTGTTTTGGTGGGTGTCTGCGAGCAGCTGCTGAATTGGGGTGTCCGAAAACATTTCTTGTAGGTTAAAAGCCAGTCCATCTTTGGCTCCTGCGTAGGGCTGGGCACCCACTTGTGCTGTGATAGTAGAAAGAATTCTTGGGCCGGGCACAGTGGATCACGAGGTCAAGAGATCGAGACCATCCTGGTTAACATGGTGAAAACCCGTCTCTACTAAAAATACAGAAATTAGCTGGGCACGGTGGCGCATGCCTGTAATCCCAGGTACTCAGGAGGCTGAGGCAGGAGAATTGCCTGAACCCAGGAGGTGGGGGTTGCGGTGAGCCGAGATTGCACCATTGCACTCCAGCCTGGGTAACAAAAGCGAAACTCTGTCTCAAAAAAAAAAAAAAGAATTCTTGAGTTAACTTTTGTATAAGGTTAAAAAATTAAAAAGATAGTAGAAAGAATGAGATCCTGGGAGGTGTCACAGAAGTAAGTTAAAGGATTAATCAAGGTCAAAGAAGTGGTGGTTTCTTCTAAGTTTGGCAGAGAAGGGTCAGCCAGAGCGTACTGGGGGTAGTTCTTCCCTGTCTTTGACTCAGTAGGTCAGGATGCGACCACAGTCTGAACTTAGCTGAGCTGTGATGACTCCTGAGAAAACCGTGCCTTGGCTGGTCTGCCCTGTGCTCAAGTGCAGAGAGAACCCCCCCTCTGTCTAGCAGGAACACACAGCTCTCCCTTGACCATGAACTCACAGAGTGAAGAGGGGTGGCCTCCTTTGCAGTTCCAGGTAGAGGGTGATTCCTGGAAAAGGGGTTCCTGAGAGGAGTGGGTTGCCATCCCAAGAATTCACACAGCAGAGGAGCAAAAGGCTTCTAGTCTGCAGGAACTGCAGAAGAAACCATTTGTGACAGCACCTTGCTTGCATTTGGCTCTAAGTACCAGCTAGAGTGGCCTGGATTTGTGCAACTCCCAATTCAAGAGGTGGGGCTGGAACCTGGGTCTCTAGGGGGAGAGGAAAAAGGTCAGTGTTTTAATAGAATGTGGTATTTCAGCTCTTGCATTTCCAATTTGCAAAGTTAATAACCCTTCCTCTCCTAGTGGGTCAGGATGGCAGGGGAGGAGCTTATAATATCGGACCAAGGTTGTTCTCCTTGCTGAAAGGTTTTTTTTTTTAAAGATGGGGTTTCACCATGATGGCCAGGCTGGTTTTGAACTCCTGACCTCAGGTGATCCACCCACCTCAGCCTCCCAAAGTGCTAGGATTACAGGCGTGAGCCACCACACCCGGCTGCCAAAAGGTTTTCATACAGCCACATTTTACACATTTTAAGCCTCCATTAAAGAACGTAATAGGCTTTATTGAGAGCTTGTTCTCTGCCAGTCACCATGTGTCTCCAATACCATAGCATGAACCACCTGGAGGATAGATAGGTGTGTCCTGTGTCCCTCTTGAGAAGGAACAGTGTTGGAATTCAAGCCGCTGTCAATCTGACACCTCAGAGCTTGGCTATGTCCACACCAAGATTGGCCTGAGCTCTGGGTGCTAGTCGAAACCCAACAAGACTGAGGTTGAGTGCCCATTTCTGGTACACAGCCTCTCGGGGCATCTCTGCTTAAGAGTATGTGCCTTACTCTTAAAAAGCAAGATAACTACTGCTTCACTCCTTCAAAATAAAAGAGAGAGAGAGAGAGAAGCAAGATAATAGAAAAAGCTACCCTGCTTTCTCCAGTCCTGGGTACTGTAGTTCAAGTGGGAGAGCAGGTCTCCCACACAGCCAGGTACAGGGCCTAGAGGGACGGCAGCAGCTGCTGGACATTGAGCTGGTCTGAAACGTTGGAGGTTTCCAGTGATGTCACTCTCCTGGCAGAAAGATTGGGGTGCGTGGCTTATACCAAGTGGTCCTGGTTGTGGGTACTTATAACCCAGCAGTGGGCTAAGGGGGTAGGGCGTGGGGTGAGGTGGGGACAGAAGTGAGCAGATGGCAGAGGTAGTGAGACAACAGCAGGGCTGTGCTCTTAGCCCCCACAGACCATGGTTATACAGTATCAGCCAGGGATTGGTTCCAGGATGAACCCCAATACCTAAGTCCATAGATGTTCACTCTTAATATAAAACGCTATAACATTGGGGCTGGCACAGTGACACACACCTGTCATTCCAGCACTTTGGGAGGCCAAGATGGGTGAATCACTTGAGCCCAGGAGTTCAAGACCATCTGGGCAAGATGGCAAAATGGGTCTCTTCAAAAATTAGTTGGGTGTGGCGGTGTGCGCCTATAGTCCCAACTGTTCATAAGGTCAAACCTGCAGTGAGTTGTTACCACACCACTGCACTCCAGCCTGGGTGACAGAATGAGGCCTTGTCTCAAAAAAAATGGGGGGGGGGGGGGAGTAATATTTGCATATCGCCTATGCAGATCGTCCCATGTAGTAGTATTTTTTTTTAAGACAGTCTCACTCTGTCACCCAGGCTGGAGTGCAGTGGCATGATCTTGGCTAACTGCAGCCTCTGCCCAGGTTCAAGCAAATTCTTCTGCCTCATACTCCCAAGTAGCTGGGATTACAGGTGTGCGACACCACACCTGGCTAATTTTTTTGTGTTTTTAGTAGAGATAGGGTTTTGCCATGTTGGTCAGGCTGGTCTCAAGCTCCTGACCTTAGGTGACTCACCCACCCACCTCAACCTCCCAAAGTGGTGGGATTACAAGTATGAACCACCATGCCTGGCTGGATCCCATATATAGTAAATCATCTCCAGATTACTTCTGGATTAATACAGGCCAGACATATAGCAGTCCCAGCGGGAGGCTGAGGCAAGAAAATTGCTTAAGTCTTCAGAGTTCGAGGCTGCAGTGAACTGATGACACCACTGCCCTCTAGCCTGGGTGACAGAATGAAGCCCCGTCTTGCGGGGGTGGGGGTGGGGGTGAATACAGTAATTGTCACACTGCTTTTAATTGTGTGGATTTTTCTCCTCTGAATATTTTTGATCCACCGTTGGTTGAGTCTGTGGCTATGGAGGGCTGGCTGTATCTGTACCTGATCTCAGGGCAGGAGGGGGCTGGGAACAAGCGGTGTGCAAGAACCATTTCTGGGCAGGGAGCAGGAGGCCAGGAGCAGCCCACCACCCCACACAAAACACTGCTGCCTGGCACTTGGCAACTATTGAAGAATCCCCAAATTCCCCCACTTGATCTCTAGAACTAGAGGAAAGAAGTCAATTTGCTGGTCTCTGGGTCCCAGGGACAAATCAGAATCTGCTCCAGAGCCAGGCGGAACCATGTGATGGCTGAACTCTGGGTACTTCCTGCATCATGGATCACAGTGGCAGGACAAGGCAGTGCCTCCAGAGCCATGTGACATGGAGCCATTGAGTACCCTCTGGCATCTCAGTGTCACTCTCTGTAAAGGAGAATAGCACTTGACACACCCATTGAGTCCTCACAGTAACCTCCCGGCCCTAAGGTGAGGTGCAGTGGAGAGACAGAAAAGCCCTTGGCATGGGGCCTGACTGAAGTGTGCTGCAGTTAGTGGAACCGTGTTTCTGGGGAGGTGGGGGCTTTCCTTGCAGGCAAGGAGGCTGGCTGGGGTGGACCAGGGACTTGCCCAAGCCAGTCTAGGAACAACAACCCCCGTGTCCACAGAGGGGCTGGTACACATACCAAGATGGGGGCATCCACTGCACAGTGTCTGCCCTGTCCTTGTTATCTTGAGCTCTCTCTCCAGACTCTGGTTGCCCAGAGAGTGGCAATGGAGATGGTCACAGCTAGGCCCCACCTGTACATACCTCAGGTTCAATTCAACAGCAGTGCTGCTGGGACAGTAAGCACTAAAGAAGTTGGCGGCCGGGCGCAGTGGCTCAAGCCTGTAATCCCAGCACTTTGGGAGGCCGAGGCGGGTGGATCACACGAGGTCAAGAGATCGAGACCATCCTGGTCAACATGGTGAAACCCCATCTCTACTAAAAATACAAAAAAAAATTAGCTGGGCATGGTGGCGCATGCCTGTAATCCCAGCTACTCAGGAGACTGAGGCAGGACAATTGCCTGAACCCAGGAGGCGGAGATTGTGGTGAGCCGAAATCGCGCCATTGCACTCCAGCCTGGGTAACAAGAGCGAAACTCCCATCTCAAAAAAAAAGAAGTTGGCCCTGCAGAGGTGGGAGTGCCCACCCAGGGTGCAGGGCTGCTTGGTGAGGAAGAGCTAACTGGGGTTGGGGACAAAGAGGGAGCTGTCAGTTTCCGGGTGTTAGTGTGTGTTTTCAGTTTCCCTCATAAAACGGTGAGAATTGGCTCTTTACACATGGAATTGTTTACGTGAGACCTTGATAAAGACCCTAAATCGCCCTCTCACACTATCCCCAGCTTCCACAGCGCGGCACCTGTACCTCCGGGGTGGCGCTGGGGTTGGCTCCATGACCAAGATATATGGGGGACGTCAGAGAAATGGCGTCATGCCCAGCCACTTCAGCCGAGGCTCCAAGAGCGTGGCCCGCCGGGTCCTCCAAGCCCTGGAGGGGCTGAAAATGGTGGAAAAGGACCAAGATGGGTAAGCAGGGTGGGCAGGGCTGGATTGATGGAGCAGCCTTGGGGCCAAGCCATCAGTGCCCACAACTCATTTCCCCAGTAAATGGTCCTGCATAGTCTGCCCAGCCCCTCAGGCCTCTCAGAGGCAGGCAGGAGGGGATTCTGCAGAAAAGCGAACAGCAAGGGGCCTCACCCTGACCTCTCTGGCTGACTAGCCCAGGCGCCAGGAAGGTAATTTAGCGACTGTCCGCTTTCATTAGCCTGCTCGTTAACTTTTACCAATTGATTTTTCGGGGCTTTTGATCTAATGCTTGCACAAACGACACCCCATCAGCTCCCAGGCGGGCTCCCACTGCTGCCCCCAGCTCGTTAGAATGCACCTGACTAAGGCCCTCACTGAGACTTGGCTGGCGGCAGGTGGTCCCACAGCCAGGTGCCTTCTTGAGAAGCCTAGCTCGAAACCAGAAGGGAAGGGGCTGAGAACACGACCTGTGCTCACTGGGGCCTACATGACCATTCCTTCCCCACAGGGGCCGCAAACTGACACCTCAGGGACAGAGAGATCTGGACAGAATCGCCGGACAGGTGAGGCCTGCGTTGCGGCAGGGCCAGAATTATTTCCTCCTGGAGGGCACAGCTCAGGGTGGTGGTGGGGTCAGGAGGGCTGCCCAGGGACAGGGGAAAGGACAGTTGTGACTAACTTTTCCTGCTGGTGCCGCTTAGAAATTTGGAGGGAACTGCAGCCCAGGTGCCAGTGAGCCTCCGCAGAGCACATAGCTGCATCTGCAGGCGACTCCCTCTTCCCAGGTCTGCCTGCAGTGTTCCCTGAAGTCCTCATGCTTACTGAGCATCACATGGGTGGCTTGGGAAAGGGACAGGGCTGGTTCAGGACCCAGGCCTCCATTCAGATCCTGGCTGGCTGACACCTGGGGCAGAGTGGCCACACCTCTGGTGCCACAGTCTCCCTGTCTTGGCCTCCCTGTGGCCAGAATCTACCCTTGGCCATGTCAAGCATGGTAGTGAAGAATACAACAGGAGCTCCCAGGGCCTGGCATGAACTCAATTCTGTAGCATTGACTCAGGCCTCCTAGGAGGTTTGGAGTATTTAGTGACTTAGTCAAGTGTCGCAAAAGAATGGAAGGTGTTAGCCTTCTAGGAGTTGGGGGTTGCCTGGAAGGAGAAAGCTCTTCCAGGCAGAGGGGCTTGGCAGACACATCATCGCTGGTGGTTGGATGTTGCTTTCTCACATGGCAGTGGGACTCCACTCCACCACTCCCTTCTTCCTTCCACATCTGTGAAATGGGGAAATAATCACAGTGAGAATTAGATGAGATGGATGCATTTCATTTAAGACCACACATCGGGTACCCACCTCTAGTGGATAGTAGATAGCTGTTACAAAGTGCACAGCAGAGGCCCCCTTGACTGACCTTACTCTTCCATCTTTTCCCACAGGTGGCAGCTGCCAACAAGAAGCATTAGAACAAACCATGCTGGGTTAATAAATTGCCTCATTCGTAATCCTGGTCTGGGTCTCTTTAGAGTCTGCTCTGTCACTCAGGCTGGAGTGCAGTGATACCATCTCAGCTCACTGCAACCTCTGCCTTCCAGGTTCAAGCGATTTTCCTGCCTCTGCCTTCCAAAGTGCTGGATTACAGGTGTGAGCCACTGCGCCTGGTCTGGTCTGGGTCTCTTGATTGATTGCTCTTTGGGGGCATGAGGAATAAGCGCTTCCTCCCTTCCCTTGAGTGAGGGTGCCTAGATGGCTGTGTACCTGGCAGCCAGTAGGGCCTCCCCAGTCAAACAATTCCTATCTGGGTTTGGAGGAAGGGCCTAGGGGCCTTTGTGGCTCACTCCCCCACATCCTGTCTTTGCAATTCTCAGAAAGTAAGAAAGGATGGCTGTGTGAGCTATAGAGGGCAGTAAGCTGTGCGCTTAGCTGGACATGGGCTGCAGAGGTGGCTTCTGCTGGAGGAAAGCAAGAGGGTCTATGGCTCATGCTTCTCCCTGGAATGTGGAACACAGGCCACCAGGGAGCCTCCACCACAAAGTGGCCTGTGCTGCCTGCACACTAACACTCCTGGACATGCACGTTCTGGGTGGTCCTTGAGCCTTCACTCTGCATCTGAGTGGTGGTGGGCCTGCTGAGTGTGGCAGTGGCAGGGAGCCGGTGGAAGCGGAGCCTGATAGGTGCCTGTGCAGAAGTGCAGCTCCCAGGGTGGCCACACGGGGGCTGCATGATCTCAGCAGTCCTCCACAGCGACTGGCTTACACAGCAAAGTGAGATGCGGTCTCCACCCATGATTGGGCACCTGATCAGGGCAGGAGATTTCAACACTGCCCAGTGGGAAAAACGGGAAAGAAGCTCTTGGGACCTGCTGTGACCCGATGCTGCTCCCAGTATTCCCCTGTCCAGGTTATTCCTGGGATCTGACCCATTTTCTGGAAAGGGCAAAGGCTGGGTTTTGAAGTTTAAACTACTTGAGTTTAAATCCCAACTCTTCGTAATCCCATGACCAGTGCACCTTCCTCCCCCGAGCCTTCACCTTGTTTGTGACCCTGCTAACTCCTGATTGGGCAACATGCCATGGAGAGCCTTGACTCTGAGTAGCTCTGCTGGTGGACAGCCAGTTGGCAGTTCCCAAATCTAAGGCATAAGTGTTGAAAATAGGAAGTATCAAAGCCATCAGGTCCTACACCAGGGGAGAATGAAGCTGCCATCCTTCCCAGCTTGATTGTCAGTGCTGAAGGATTTGTATTTAAAACACACTTAGAACCTACTGTGTGCCAGCACTGCACTGTGCCAGGCACTTTCCAACTGCATCATTGTGGCCAGGCACGGTGGCTCATGCCTGTAATCCCAGCACTTTGGGAGGCGCTGAATCACCTGAGGCCAGGAGTTCCAAGAACAGCCTGGCCAACGTGGTGAAACCCCATCCCTACCAAAAATAGGAAAAATTAGCTGGGTGTGGTGGTGGGTACCTGTAATCCCAGCTACTGAGGAGGCTGAGGCAGGAGAATTGCTTGAACACGGGAGGTGGAGGTTGCAGTGAGCCAATATTATGCCATTACACTCCAGCCTGGGCAACAAGAGTGAAACTCCATCTCAAAAATTAAAAATTAGCCAAGCTGGTGGCACACACCTGTAATCCCAGCTACTCAAGAGGCTAAAGCAGGAGAATCACTTGAATCCAGGAGGTGGAAGTTTCAGTGAGCCGAGATCACACCACTGCACTGCAGCCTGAGCAGAGCCAGTGTCCATTTCAAAAAGAACAAAAAATTTTAAGGCATCATTGTTTACACTCAGCAACCCTGTGAAGTAGGTGCCGAAAAGCATTTTGGAAGTAGGGAAAGTAAGCCATAGGTTGGGTAACTTGCCCGATGTCCCCCAGCTACAGCCATCATTTGAACCCAAGCCACCTGGCTGCAGCCTTGGGCCTAGCCACTCCAGGGCTCTGTACTTCAGAAGAGAGGCCCAAAGGGTTGCACTCTGGCTGTAAGCCAGTCACTCCCTGTTCTGGGCCCTAGTTTCCTCTTTTGGCCATTAAGGATAAAACATTTTCCAGAGCTGACGACATGAGAATATGCCAAGCATCTGGTTTGCACAGCAGCAGGTAGGTGGGAAGGTGGAGGTGTCCGGAGTAGGTCTGCAGTCCCGCAGCTGTGCCGCTCCAGCCACTGGGGGGCAGTAGAGGGCCTAGAAACGGGCTCCTCCACTGAAGGCGAAGTCAGGGCTTCCAGGTCTGGAGCCAAGCTTATTCCTGGAAGGGGTCTTAAGGAAGAATTGAAGTGCAGAGGGGCTACTGACCCCAACAGAACACCTGGGATCCTGGTCCCCAGAGCTATAGAACTGTGTTCCAGATACTGTGCCAAGTGCACTGCAGAATACAGGGTTTCATCATGTTGGCCAGGCTGGTCTTGAACTTGACCCCGGTGATCTGCCTGCCTCAGCTTCCCAAAATGCTTAGATTTCAGGTGTGAGCTACCACACACAGCCAGAATATTCTTACAGTCTTACAAGTGGGTTTGTACCCATGTTATATGAGAAGAAACAGGTTCGGATGACCAGTTAGTTGACCAAACAGATGTAAAAGAATCCTGGACTCGAGGCCCAGGCTCTTCTGCATGGGTGGCAATTGCACTTTTTAAAAATTTTTGCACTATGGGAAGTGCATGATCACTTGAGGTTAAGAGTTTGAGACCTTGACTAGGTGTGGTGGTTTATGCCTGTAATCCCAGAACTTTGGGAGGCTGAGGTGGGTGGATCGCCTGAAGTCAGGAGTTTGAGACCAGCCTGATCAACATGGTGAAACCCCATCTCTACTAAAAATACAAAAATTAGCCGGGCCTGGTGGCATATGCCTGTAATCCCAGCTACTTGGGAGGCTGAAGCAGAAGAACCGCTTAAATGCAGGAGGCGGAAGTCATGGTGAGCATAGATTGCGCTACTGCACTCCAGCCTGGGCAACAAGAGTGAAACTCTGTCTCAAAAAAAAATTTTCAAGACCAGCCTGGCCAACATGGTGAAACCCTGTCTATTAAAAATACAACAAAGGCTAGGCGTGGTGGCTCACACCTGTAATCCCAGTACTTTGGGAGGCCAAGGTGGGCAGATCACCTGAGGTTGGGAGTTCAAGACCAGCCTGACCAACATGTAGAAACCCCATCTCTACCAAAAATTCAAAATTAGCCAGGCATGGTGGTACATGCCTGTAGTCCCAGCTATTCAGGAGGCTAAAGCAGAAGAATCACGAATCTGGGAGGCAGAGGTTGTGGTGAGCCAAGATCACACCACTGCACATCAGCCTAGATAACAAGAGTAAAACTCTATCTAAAAAATAATAATAGGTCGGGCGCGGTGGCTCACGCCTATAATCCCAGCACTTTGGGAGGCCGAGGTGTGGATCGTGAGGTCAAGAGATCGAGACCATCCTGGTCAACAAGGTGAAACCCCGTCTCTATTAAAAATACAAAGATTAGCTGGGCATGGTGGTGCGCGCCTACAGTCTCAGCTACTCAGGAGGCTGAGGCAGGAGAATTGCTTGAACCCAGAAGGCGGAGGTTGTGGTGAGCCGAGATTGTGCCATTGCACTCCAGTCTGGGTAACAACAGTGAAACTCCATTTCAAATGATAATAATAAATACCAAAAAAAAATGGCAGGACATTGCGGTGCACACCTATAATCCCAGTACTTAGAAGGCTGAGACAGGATAATGTCTTGAACCCAGGAGGCGGAGGTTGCAGTGAGCAGAGATCACACCACTGCACTCCAGCCTAGATAACAGAGCAAAAACAAAAAAGGCCGAAATACTTGAGGCATACAAAACAGTATTCGTAATGTAACAAAAACCTGTGAAGCACCACCCAGTTTAAGTAACACAGGCAGGGCAGGGTGCAGTGCCTGTAATCCCAGCACTTTGGGAGGCCAACCTGGGAGGATCACTTGAGGCCAGGAGCTCCAGGCCAGCATGGGCAACATAGCGAGACCCCACCTCTACAAAAATTTTAAAAATAGCCAGGCATGGTGGTGTGCACCTGTAATCCCGGCTACTTGGGAGACTGAGGTAAAAGAGTCACTTGAGCCCAGGAGTTTGAGGTTATGATCATGCCACTGCACTCTAGCCGGGGCTACAGAAAGAGGCTCTATTTCTTAAAAAAACAAAAAACAGCCGGGCGCAGTGGCTCACGCCTGTAATCCCAGCACTTTGGGAGGCCAAGGCAGGTGGATCATGAGGTCAAGAGATCGAGACCATCCTGGTCAACATGGTGAAACCCCGTCTCTACTAAAAATACAAAAAATTAGCTGGGCATGGTGGCGCATGCCTGTAATCCCAGCTACTCAGGAGGCTGAGGCAGGAGAATTGCCTAAACCCAGGAGGCGGAGGTTGCAGGGAGCCGAGATCGTGCCATTGCACTCCAGCCTGGGTAACAAGAGCGAAACTCCGTCTCAAAAAAAAAAGGTGGCTGGGTGCAGTGGCTCACGCCTGTAATCCCAGCACTTTGGAAGGCTGAGGCAGGGGGATTACCTGAGGTCAGGAGTTTGAGACCAGCCCGGCCAACGTGGTGAAACCCCATCTCTACTAAAAATGTTAGAATTATCTGGGCATGGTGGCACATGCCTGTAGTCCCAGCTACTTGGGAGGCTGAGGCAGGAGAATCGCTGGAACCTGAGAGGCAGTGTTTGCAGTGAGCCGAGATCACACCACTGCACTCCAGCCTGGGTGACAGAGCAAGACTTTGTCTCAAAATAAAAAAGTAACACAGGAAATAAAACCAAGGCAAGATGAGCTCTGTGTGTCTGTGTGCCCCTCCCCAGACCAAACTCTGGCTTCCCCAAGAGGTAACGCCTCCCAGGAACTGGGCGTTTGTCACTTTTCTGCACAGGTCTACAGCTCTACTACAAATGTGTGTCTCTAAGCAGCACACGGGGTTGTTTTGCCTTGTGAAAACAGGTCAACTCTCTCATGCTATGGTATTTTTTTCTGATGTTTGTGCTGTTTCTGAGACAGCCCTGACACCTTCCCCTATTCTATCGCATTCTGTTGGCTGCCTTTGCTGTAGTAGATGTGCCCATTCTCCCATGGATGGACTTTTCATTTGCTTCTCAATGTCTGCTACCAAAAATCTCCCTACAATGAATTTACTTTTTTTTTTGAGATGGATTTTCACTGTTGTTACCCAGGCTGGAGTGCAATGGCACGATCTCGGCTCACCACAACCTCCGCCTCCTGGGTTCAAGCAATTCTCCTGCCTCAGCCTCCCAAGTAGCTGGGACTACAGGCATGCACCACCATGCCCAGCCAATTTTTGTATTTTTAGTAGAGATGGGGTTTCACCTTCTTGACCAGGATGGTCTCGATCTCTTGACCTCGTGATCCACCCGCCTCAGCCTCCCAAAGTGCTGGGATTATAGACGTGAGCCACCGCGCCTGGCCAATGAATTTACTTTATGTATCCCCTTGTATGTGTGTAGGAGGGTCCCCTAACTGCTCTCAGATATCTCAGCAACTCTGCCCTCCCCACTCAGACCTCATTTCCCTCCTCCAGACATGCTCAAAGGAAACTGGGAGCAACACAGAATCAACCCTGAATCTCTGTCCACCACCTGCAGACTGTATGACACCAGCAAGTGACAACATCCCCTATCTGGGCCACGGTTTCCCCTCTGTAAAACGGGAATGACCTACCTTGCCCAGTCATGGCAGATCAATATAAAACAACTTCCGGCTGAGTGTGGTGGCTCATGCCTATAATCCTAGCACTTTGGGAAGCCAAGGCAGGAGGATTCCCTGAGGCCAGGAGTTCAAGACCAGCCTGGGCAATGTAGCAAGATCCCATCTCTCTAAAGAAGAAGAAATACATATTGTTATTATTATTGAGATGGACTTTCACTCTTGTCACCCAGGCTGGAGTGCAATGGTGTGATCTCAGCTCACCACAACCTCCACCTCCTAGGTTCAAGCGATTCTCCTGCCTCAGCCTCCTGAGTAGCTAGAACTACAGACATGCACCACTACACCCAGCTAATTTTTATATTTTTAGTAGAGATGGGGTTTCACCATGTTGGCCAGGCTGGTCTCTAACTCCTGACCTCAGGTGGTTCTCCCGCCTCGACCTCCCAAAGTGCTGGGATTACAGGCATGAGCCACCGCACCCAGCCTGTTTTTCTAAAAAAAAAAAAAAAAAAAAAAAGAATTCTGCCAGGCACAGTGGCTCACGCCTGTAATCCCAGCACTTTGGGAGGCAAAGGTGGGCAGATCACAAGGTCAAAAGATCAAGACCATCCTGGCCAACATGGTGAAACCCTGTCTCTACTAAAAATACAAATATTAGCTGGGTGTGGTGGTGCGGGCCTGTAGTCCCAGCTACTCAGGAGACTGAGGCAGGAGAATCGCTTGAACCCAGGAGGCGGAGGTTTCCATAAGCAGAGATTGCACCACTGCTCTCCAGCCTGGTGACAGAGGGAGACTCGGTCTCAAAAAAAAGAATTCCAGTAATGAGCTGATCATGGGTCTAACTCCTTGAATACCGGGAACAAACACCATGTCATATCACATAATGAGACAGGGAGACATTCTGATCCCCATCTCAGAGACAAAAAATGCCAAGGCTGGAAGGATCAAACTGCCCACCTTGTCACATGTTAGCCACGGGGCAGCCTGCCTTACTGATTCTTCATGAGCATTTATAGTGACTAGCATTTACTGAGCACCTATTATGTGCCATTTCTGTGCACCCAGCAACCCCTTTAAGTCCTTGTTTCTTTTTTTTTTCTTTTTGAGATGGAGTCTTGCTCTGTTACCCAGGCTGGAGTGCAATGGCACCATCTCAGCTCACTGCAACCTCAGTCTCCCAAGTTCAAGTGATTCTCCTGCCTCAGCCTCCTGAGTAGCTAGGATTACAGGCACCCACCATGCCCAGCTAATTTTTGTGTTTTTTGGTAGAGATGGGAGTTTCACCATATTGTTCAGGCTGGTCTTGAACTCCTGACCTCGTGATCAGCCTGCCTCGACCTCCCAAAGTGCTGGGATTACAGACGTGAGCCACCGCGCCCAGCCTTAAGTCATTGTTTCTAATCCCAAGAAGCAAGGAAATGGCGTCAGGGAAGGAACAAGGTTTGCCCAAGGTCAGGCAGGGGCAGAGGTCAAGCTCAGAACCCTCACCTGCCCAGAGCACGTGACCAGGACTCAGGCTCTCTAGGCTTCCTTCCAAAGGCTCAGCAGTGATGACCCAGCCCTTGAACCAGCCTCTACCCCTACCCAGGCAGCCACCTCTCAGGGGAATTGTGGCCACCGCAGGTGCAGGGAGCACTTCCTCTCTACTCATGGCCTGAAGCATACCCGGCAGGGGCTGTCCCCAGGCCCAACGAGCAAAGGACCCAGCAGCGAGGACCACTAGAGCCCATCTCCGGGGGGCTGGGCAGGAAATAGGGTGGGGTTTGGGTAGGGAGCTGGTACCCCAGGACTGCTGCAGCTCAAACTAACGCATCGACCGGGAGAAGATGCCTGGGGGTCTCGGAGTCCTCCAAGCTCTGCCTGCCTCCATATTCCTCCTCTTCCTGCTGTCTGCTGCCTACCTGGGTATGTGGCCAATGGGCAGGAACTGGGGGGAGGAGGGGGAAGCCGTGGAGGCTGCAGAGAGGGCACAGGCAGCGGGAAGGGGGCTCAGGAGAGGGGAATAGGAGGCAGAGAGCACAGAGCCAGGGAAGACACCTGTAGAAATCGGGTCTGTTCCATGCTGGGCAAAGATGCGGCTGGAGAGAGCCCAGCGAAGGAAAATGGGGGTCCAGAGCCCCACGGAGGGAGGCAGGAGCAAGCGTCACCTCCCCCACCTCCTGTAAAAGAAGGAACTAAAGCCGCTCTTGACTGAGCACCAGGGCTGCAGGCAGGAAGGGCAGTGGGGCTAGCAGCGTTCAGTGTCTGACAAGGGGAGAAAAACCTTTCTCTGCCTTAAACCTCAGGCGCCACCCTGTGTTGGGAGCCCCTTCTCAGCACTGGGGGATCTGATGCCTCATGGACCCCCCTTGCCCACCCAAGGCCAGCGCGTGGCCATGCTACCCCAGGAGCTCAGAGGTTTCTCGGTTTCTCAGGGTAACTGGAGTTCCCACCTGAGTCCTAAGCCCATGCCAACGAGGGTGCTTGGCCCCTCTCCCTACCTCTTCTTCCTTCTCTTTTCCCCACCTCCCTCCTCCGACTGCTTCCAGAAGAAGAGGCCGGCCATGTGGGTGGCCTGGCTGAGATCTGGGGCTTCCCAGAGGAGCCCCGGATTGGACGCTGCAGTCAGCCTGAGCCACCCCGACTCAGACACCCACAACCTCCACCCTGCTGAGGGCGTTCACTCACCACCAGCCCAGCCCAAGGACTGAACTCACCCCTGACCCTGAAGTTGAAACATACAAGTTACAGAGAATGAGGGACGGGCACAGGGTCACAGGCCAGGGCAGGCCACAGATAGGCTCCTCAGCCCAGGCAGGAAGAGGCCAGGGAGCCAGGAGTTTGAACCCAGTGCCACTCCTGATTGCCTGGTGATGCTGGCAACTCGCCTGCCCTCCCTGGGCCTCAGTCATCCCTCCCGTAAAGTGGGGTTAAGGAAAGAACCTACTGCTAGGGTTCTGTGAGGATTACCAAGAAAAAGCACCAGGTGCAGAGTCTCACTGAGGCTGGGGTGGGAAAATGGACTGGGAAGGCTGTGGGAGGAGGGGATGCCTGCCTGCTTCTGGAAAGAGCTGTCTGGACGCAGCCTCCAGTTCCTAGAACAAACATCCAAAAGCCAGTGAGTTCTCAGGCCAGAGCACAAAGTGGGTATGCAGGAGGGGGGCAGGAGATGGCACTGCAGAGGTGACAAGGGCCTCCCAGGGGTCTCACTATCCCAGAGAGTCTCATTCTCCTCCCCCAGGATGTCCTCACCCACCCCAACCCCTGTGTCCTCTCTCCTTTCCCAGGGGCATCTTCACTCTCCTGCATCCGCCTCTCCCCAAGATGCATCAGCCCCTCTCAGGGGCTCTCCCTCCTCCTCCAGACCCAGGAGAGTCCTCGCCCTCCTCCCCTCCCCCCATGAGTGTCCTCACCCTCCTCCCCACCCCTCCCAGGAGTGCTGGAGCTGTAAGGGCAGGGCTGCGGGCCTGTGTCGCCATGCCCAGTCCCTGACCCACCTACCCTGCCTCTCCGCAGGCCCTGGGTGCCAGGCCCTGTGGGTGCACAAGGGCCCAACATCGTTGATGGCAAGCCTGGGGGAAGAGGCCCACCTACAGTGCCTTCACAATGGCAGTAACACCAACGTCACCTGGTGGCGTGTCCTCCACGGCAACTACACGTGGCCCCCGGTGTTCGTCGGCCTGGGCCAGGGTGTCAACGGTACGCTGACCATCCAGAACGTGAACAAGAGCCACGGAGGCATATACATGTGCCGTGTCCAGGAGGGCAACAAGCCATACCAGCAGTCCTGCGGCACCTACCTCCGCGTGCGCCGTGAGTGGCCTGGCCCTGGCCCCTACCCCCACTCTCCCGCTGGGGACACTCAGTTTATCTTTGAAGTGTGGAGGGGATATACCCAGTACCTTCTTTGTGGGTTTCAAACTGGCTCGGACGAGGGACTGACGATCTCCTCTGCAGAGTGGGGATTTCGGGGGGCCCGGGGCCTTGCAGAGGTTGGGCAGATGTGCCAGGGCTTTAAGCTTCCTACCTCCTTGCAGACCCGCCCCCCAGGCCCTTCCTGGACATGGGGGAGGGCACCAAGAACCGCATCATCACAGCCGAGGGGATTATCCTCCTGTTCTGCGCAGTGGTGCCTGGAACGCTGCTGCTGTTCAGGGTGAGTCTGCTGGGACCCCCGAGTTGGCGGGTAAGGGCCTGGGCTGAAGGACTCCCAATGCCCAGGTGGCCCTCTAGAGCCTAAAGTTCTCCATCCAAAACTTGGAAGAAGAAAGCACCCATTGCACAGGAGCTGTGGAAGTTAAATGAATGAATATAAAGAAGGGACTTGGGCCGGACATGGTGGCTCACACCTGTAATCCCAACACACTGGGAGGCCAAGGCGGAAGGATCACTTGTGGTCAGGGGTTCGAGACTAGCCTGAACAATATGGCGAAACCCCGTCTCTACTAAAAAAAATTCAAAAATAACCGGGTGTGGTGGCGGGTGCTTGTAATCCCAGCTACTCCAGAGGCTAAGGCAGGAGAATTGCTTGAACACAGGAGGCAGAGGTTGCGGTGAGCCGAGATTGTGCTATTACACTCCGGCCTGGAGGACAAGAACAATACTCTATCTCAAAAAAAAAAAAAAAAAGGGACTCGAACTGGCGCTGGGCCCAGGGGGTGTCTTCAATTTAGTTTCCCCTTCAGGGCTGTCCTCACATCCACCTCCCGCTGAAAAGAGTCTCACTCTTCCCCCAAGAGTGTCTTCACTCTCCTCCTGCCCTCACCCAGGAGTGTAGTTACCTTCCAGGTGCAGCCAAGACCAGGGAAGGTGGGGCGTAGGGGTCCTCCCAAAATCTCCGATCTGTACCAGCCTCTCTGTACACCCCTCAGCAACTGCAACTGTTGTTCATGGAGAATGGTAAGGGAGTGGAGGGTCTAGAGAACAGAGGCAAGAGGATCACTTGAGGCCACAAGTTTGAGACCAGCCTGGGCAACATAGTAAGATCCTATCTCTACAAAGGCAACATAGGAAGATCCTATCTCTACAAAAAGTCTTTTAAAAAATTCGCCAGGTGTGGTGGCATGCACCTATGGTCTCCACTACTCGGGAGGCTGAGGTGAGAGGATTGCTTGAACCCAGGAGTTCAAGGCTGCAGTGAAATATGACAGTGCCACAGCACTGCAGCCTGGACAGCAGAGGGAGACTCTGTTTAAAAAAAGAAGAAGAAACAGAGAGAGAGAGAGAGAGAAAGAAAAAGAAAAAGAGGCCGGATGCGGTGGCTCAAGCCTGTAATCCCAGCACTTTGGGAGGCCGAGGCGGGTGGATCACAAGGTCAAGAGATCGAGACCATCCTAGTCAACATGGTGAAACCCTGTCTCTACTAAAAATACAAAAATTAGCTGGGCATGGTGGCGTGTGCCTGTAACCCCAGCTACTGAGGAGGCTGAGGCAGGAGAATTGCCTGAACCCAGAAGGCAGAGGTTGCGGTGAGCCGAGATCCTGCCATTGCACTCCAGCCTGGGTAACAAGAGCGAAACTCCGTCTCAAAAAAGAAAGAAAGAAAAAGAAAAAGAAAGGCAAAGAAAGAACAGTTAGACTCAAAGATAACTGCCACGTAACCAGTATGTGGCCTTGGGCACATCTCTTACCCTTTCTGAAAAGGCACCTTCTGGCATCCAGGGGGGTCCGAAAGATATTCACCTCCCCCTGCTCACTGAGGCACCCACTCTACCCACCCCTACAGAAACGATGGCACAATGAGAAACTCGGCTTGGATGCTGGGGATGAATATGAAGACGAAAACCTTTATGAAGTGAGTGAAGGGTGGGGACAGGGTACGGGCAGGTGTGTTAGCGACTGGGGGGAAGGGTCCCAGAAAGAACAGCATGGGGTTCCCTCTAGGAGTGGTTGGGGACAGGGACCCCAGGTGCCAGGGTGCTGATGTTCACTGCCTCATTTCCACCCCAGGGCCTGAACCTCGATGACTGCTCCATGTATGAGGACATCTCCCGGGGCCTCCAGGGCACCTACCAGGATGTGGGCAGCCTCCACGTAGGAGATGTCCAGCTGGAGAAGCCGTGACACCCCTCCCCTGCCAGGCTGCCACCACCTGCAGTATATCCAGCTCCAGGGTTTCTCCTCACTTCCCGGGAACATTCTCCCTTCAGCCCTCCGGGAGGATTCCTTAGTCATCTTCCCCTGGTTGGGGGCGGGGAGGTAACTTCCTCTTCTCCAGTGAGGAGAAGAGTGAGGTTACCCTGGATTCCTTGGACTCCCCCCGGGGGTGTCCCACTCTTCTTTTCTCTAGACTGCCCCACCCCCCACCCCTTAACCCAGTCCTCCCCCTGCTGCCTTTCCCAGGCTCCCACCACCCCAGCAGGTAATGAGCCCTTAATCGCTGCCTCTAGGGAAGCTGATTGTAGCAGCCTCGTTAGTGTCACCCCCTCCTCCCAGTCCTGTCAGGGCCACTTAGTGATAATAAATTCTTCCCAATAGCAGACCTTGGCAGGAGTCGTGGATCTTATGGGAACCACCTCTCCCACACTTCCCTTAGACCCAGGAGTTCCAGCCCAAGCCACCCCTGCCAACTCCCCACACCTGGGACCAGGTAGCCAGTCTGGGCTGTCCCCCTGGAAGAAACAGGACATCTCTTTGGGAGGTCCCCAACCCAACCAAAGGACTGGTTTGGCCCTATCTGCAGGGTCTCACCCTAGGGTCATGTCTTTAAGCAAGAAGGAGAGAAGATCAATGTAGGTGTGTCTACCAAATTATTTATGCTTTTTTTTTTTTTTTTTTTTTTTTTTGAGATGGAGTTTCGCTCCTTACCCAGGCTGGAGTGCAATGGCGCGATCTCGGCTCACCGCAACCTCCGCCTCCTGGGTTCAGGCAATTCTCCTGCCTCAGCGCCTCCTGAGTAGCTGGGATTACAGGCACGTGCCACCATGCCCAGCTAACTTTTGTATTTTTAGTAGAGGCGGGGTTTCACCATGTTGACCAGGATGGTCTCGATCTCTTGACCTCGTGATCCACCCGCCTCGGCCTCCCAAAGTGCTGGGATCACAGGCTTGAGCCACCGCGCCTGGCCCCGCTTTTTTTTGTTTGTTTGTTTTTTTGAGAGAGTCTCACTCTGCCGCCCAGGCTGGAATGCAGTGGCGCAATCTCAGCCCACTTCAACCTCCACCTCTCAGGTTCAAGCAATTCTCATGCATCAGCCTTCTGAGCGGCTGAGATGACAGGCATGTGCCACACCTGCCCCACCTCTGGCTAATTTTTGTAGTTTTAGTAGAGATGGGGTTTCACCATGTTGGCCAGGCTGTTCTCAAACTCCTGACCTCAGGTGATCCACCTGCTTTGGCTGCCCAAAGTGCTGGGATTAGGAGCATGAGCCACTTTATGCATATTTAAGTCTTGGAAACACAGGGACTATTTTGTGGGGCTGGCACGAAATTCAGACTGCAGCCTTTTCCCGGTGGGTTGACTTACAGAAGGGGCATTCTAGAGGGTCTGTGGCCCTAACCTGGGGAGAGCAGGGAGATCCAGGGGCAATGACAGAGGCACAGAGCCACGCATTTCCTGAGAAAGGGAGAGGAGAGAGGCTGAAACCCAGGGATAGTGAAGGAGATGAGCAAGTACAGGAAGAGATGACGAGCCCCTGGGAATCTGAGAGAGACGGGAAGGTGGAGATAAAGAGGGGCAGAGACAGAGCGAGAAGGCAACGAAGAGTCAGAAGGTAGGAGGGGCAACCGAAAATGGGCACGAAGAGGCCCAGGCGCAGCAACAGCTGGGGAAATGACAGAGACTGAGCTGGAGATGCAGAAAGATACAGAGAGACCCGGAGAGGGTAGAGAAGGGCTCTCGGGGCGAAAGTGATGGACAGAGAGGAGAGGTGGAGGCCGAGGAGGGATGGATCCCAATACAGAAAGACAGAGGGGCAGAGAAGGGAACGCAGTCGCAGACGGGAGCACACCCACGGAGGCGAAGGAAGAGCATAAGACCAACAGAACCACAGACGCGGAAAGGCCGGGAGGCCGTGGTTCGGGCTGGGGCGCACGGGGAGCAGGGCTCGCCCCCTAGGCCCGGCGGGGAGGTGACCCCAGCCGGGAGCTGCGAGCCCCACGGAGCCCGCGCCCGGCGGACGGACAGATGGACAAAGCCGGGGAGAGGCCGGGCGCGGCCAGGGTGGGGCCGGTGCCCGCGGGGACCCGGGCGCAGCGGGGAAAGGAGGGGCGGGCAGGCGGCGAGAAGGGGAAGGAAGTGGAGGTGCCGGGCGGGCGCGGGGCGCTGGCAGGAAGCGGGGAGGGGCGGCGGGGCGGGGGCCTCCGGAAAAACGCCCCGACTTCCTGCCCCGCCAGAGCCAGGAAGCGGGAGCCGGGACCCAGGGCCCGGGATCGCCGAGCCCGACCCCGGGCGCCCCGCCGGTCACCTCTGCGCGGACACCAGGTACTCGGTCCCCGGCCCCGCCCGGCCTCCTCCCCTCGGCTGCTGGGGGAAGTGGGGAGGAGGAGGAAGGGGCTGGGGCGCTGCCGGTAGCGGAGGGGCCCCGCGGACCCAGCGGCCACTCCTCCTCGGGCCTCAGTTTCCCATCTGTCAAAGGGAGCAGAGTGGGGAGAACTCACACTTGCAGAGTGCCCAGTAGGTGGGGACGAACGGTGCGAGGCCGGGGCCAAGGCCTCCCACCTGCTTAGTGGAGGACTGACGATCACTCCCATTGTACGGGTGGGGAAACCGAGGCCCGGGAGCCAAACCGACTCGTCCCAGGGAACGCATATCGCGGGACAGTGTGCAGTTTGGATTTGAACTTGCACCTGCTTTCCACAAAGTGCCATCCTCCAGCCTCCGCATGCTTTAGGGCCACCTAAAAAAGAAAAACAGCAATCACAACAGCGACGAGGGCCGCTGTGGAGCTGAAAGTTTCAGAGTGCATTTGAAAGAGTTTTCAGAAAGCTCTTTTCTAGGTCTTTAATTATACCGTGGAGACGGGAGTAGCGGAGGGAGCTGGAGACCTTCTCCCATTATACAGATGGGAAAACTGAGGCCTGCAGAGAAGTCATTACTTTTTGCAGATGACGCCACTGCATGTCAGAGGGAAGGGTGTGCTGGAACTCAAGACTTTTGCTTTTACAGTTCCACAGGAAGGGAGATCTGGGGGTACGGAGGGAATTGATGATGTACGAGCGTTGGAAATTCAGCGGGTCCCCGAAGTGGGGAGACTAATAGGACAGGGAGCCCCACTCCGCGGTCTGAGTGGTCAGCGCCGGAGTGACTCAGAGAGCACCGATCGAACTCGGGCGGGGTTGGACTCATCTGTACCTCCGGGCGCGGGGCGGCACCCAGGGATTGACGGGGGCAGTCGAGATATGGAAACGCCGGCCCTCCAATACAGGCCAGAGCGGCCCTATCTGGCCTGCGTGGCGCAGTGCAGCGCTAGAGCGGCTGGCGGGAGGAGTAGAGTCGCCGGTGCCGGTGCAGAGCAGGAACCCGGCTAGAGCGGCTGGCAGGAGGAGTGGAGCTGGGCGCAAAGGCCGACTCGGGGCGGCTAGAGCGACTCTGCGTCGGGGGTGGGGAGAGCGCGGAGCCGGCGAGCAGAGGCTTCGGTTCCGGCGGCGGTGGCATCTCTTTCCACCTGGAGCAGGTGAGGGACGCGGTCCTCGGCGGGCGTCAGACCCTGATTCTACACGTCCTTCCTGGCATCCCTGGCCGTGCACACCGTCACGTCCCCCGTAAGGATTTAGGGCCCGCGTAAGACCCGCCACATCCACGTAAGATTTGGGGCTCCTGTAGACCCGCCACTTTCTGTGTAGATTAAAGTCTTACAGACCCTCCAGGTTCCTGCTAGCTCTCCATGGAAACCCGGCTTCTCACAGATGTGGGGTCCTCATTAAGTAACATCCCCTAGAACCCGGGGCTCTGTAGACCAACGGTCTCGGGACCAACCATACACCCCTATGGAATTCTGAGCCCCTTTTAAGTCTCCAGAGGTTCCACAGGCTGGCAGCTGTCCCTATAGAATCATGACCCTGTATGAGCCCTGGATCCTTTAGACCCACTGTGTGTCAAATAGAATCTGGGGAGTACACACTCCAAGGACTCCTTTTAGGTTCTTTAAGGCGCCCAGAAGTTCTTGGAGATCCTGAGTCACCTGCTCAGTACCTTATAGACCATGAGCCCTCCGTAGAAATCAGGTACCATGTAGCCCCCAACCCTATGGACCTTCCAAACCAGCCCTAACCCTCCAGCTCCCCAGGCATGTGGTGCTCCCTCTGCTGGATACCCCAGGCCTTGTCGGTTGTCTATAGATCCATCCATTCTCTGATACTTTCACCTATAATTCTCCAGCCTTTGTGGGACCCCCCCCCAACCCTCTCTCCTAAATAGCCAACACTCCTCACCTCCATCATCTCCAAGCCCCAGGCCTCTGTGGAGCAGCCGTATCCAGCTTGCACTCCTGCCTAGGCCATAGTGACCACATACCCTTGACTTTTCCAGGTATCATAAGTAGATGTGATTGTCTCAGAGCTTTGGTTCAGATTTTAGTTTCTGAAGGGTAGGGTAGGGGCTCCCCCAAAAAAAAATCTCAATTATTTACTTGAGATGGAGTCTCGCTTCTGTCACCAGGCTGGAGTGCAGTGGTGCGATCTCGGCTCATTATAACCTCTGCCTCCCAGTTTCAAGCGATTCTTCTGCCTCAGCCGCCCAAGTAGCTGAGACTACTGGCACGCGCCACCATACCCAGCTAATTTTTGTATTTTTAGTAGAGATGGAGTTTCACTGTGTTGGCCAGCATGGTCTCTTGACCTCGTGATCCACCTGCCTCAGCCTCCCAAAGTGCTGGGATTACAGGCGTGAGCCACCCCGCCTATTTTATTTTAAGACAAGGTTACACTCTGTTGTCCAGTCTGAGGGCAGTGGTGCAATCTTGGCTCACTGCAACCTCTGCTTCCTGGGCTTAAGTGATCCTCGAATCTTAGCCTCCCAATTAGCTGGGACTACAGGCATGAGCAACCACACCTGGCTATTTTTTGTGGAGTTGGGGTTTCACCATGTTGGCCAGGCTGGTCTCAAACTCCTGAGCTCAAGTGATCCTCCTGGCTCGGTCTCCCAAAGTGCTGGGAGCCACTGCACCCACCCAAATGCAGTTTGTTTTAAATGCATAAACTCTGTAGCCCTATTGCCTAGGTCTGAGTCCTGCTTCTGTCTCTTATGGGCTGTGCCTCAGTTTCCTTCTTTGTTAAATGGAGATAAGTAATAATAAACTCTTGGAGTCACTGAGAGGATTAAATGAGTTATTACCTATAAAGTGGTGATGTGTCTGGCGCATACTTAGTGTCTCTTATGCGTTAGCTCTCATTTCATTATCATTGTGATGAGGAATGAGATAATAACTTGTCAAGTGCACATTGCAGACCTGGCACCAAGCATTTGCAGAGATAATGAGTATCCCTTCCTTTGCCCTTTTTGTACCTCTCTGCCTCAGTTGAACCTTTCTGCCTCTG